AGTCCCTGCCTCCCCAGCGGCCGGGCCTGCTGTCACCCCCAGGACCTCGTCACTCCCCACCCTGACTCATACCAACTCCTTAACGTCTCCGTTCCCCCGACCACCGCCATGCCTTGGCTCAGGTCCTCATCACCTCTTACCAAATGGCCTCCAAGCCACCTGCCACAGGCCAAGAAAGACTCAGAAAACATCAACAGCACAAAAAAGGGAACTTAGGGAATTCCCTGGCAGTCCAGTTGTTGGGACTCTGTGCTCCACCACAGGGGGGCCGGGTTCGACCCCTGGTTGGGGAACTAGGGTCCCACAAGCCATGCGGTACAGCCAGATAAATTAATTTTAAAAACTTAAAAAAAAACAAAAAAGGGAACTTGACAGAGGTCATGCTGCTTGGCCAGGGCCCTGAGAGCAGTGGGCTGGCCCCATTCACTTAGGAATCTGTCCGTCCAGTAGGGGCTGAGAACCCAGTGACCAGCAGCCTAGCGGGAGAGACAGGCAAGGAAATGGAACAGCCCAGACCCGTGGAGCCCACGGGGTTACCAGAGCTGGAGGCAAGACAGGGGATACTGTCGGGCACAGCCCCATTCGGAATGGAGGCTGCCGGAGGAAAACAGCCCTCAGGATGGGCCGGAGGGGCCCAGTTTCTGCAGGCGGCCCTCCAGTCTAGGCTGGGCGAGCACCTGGCTTTTCACCTGTGAGAGCCTGCTGCCCCTGCCACTGTCTCTTCCCGTCCCCAGCTGGATGAGGTGCTCCAAAAGTGGCCTTGTGCAGCTTCTTCCCCTCTGCCCAGCCCAGGGCCTGATGCCAAGGGGGTTCAGGGACCACCTGGGACTGAACAGGGAAGAACCTAAAGGCACACTGTTTGGACTTTGGCCTGCAGAAGTTCAGAGAAGAGTGAGCTCAGGGAGGCCGAGGTCGCCAGGGAACACTTCCTGGAAAAGTGGGACTGGCCCTCAGCCTCAGCATGGCAACCAGAGGGCGTCACCTGTGGGCTCCCTCCCCGGCAGACACCACCTAGAAGGTTGCCCAGAAAGGGGCAGCATTCCTGAGAACGTGGGGAAAGGACAGCCCTGAAAGGAGCCACCAGCCTGAGTCTGGCAGGAGCAGGTGCACGAAGCTGGGTGTCAGCACTCACACCTTCAGGGGCCCCTTAATTCCAAGAGAAAACACCTCCGACCTTACCCCAATTCCCCTCGCCCAGCCCTCAGGGCCAGCAGATGATGAGCACTAGGGCCTGCCCAATGGCAGCCACCTGCCAAAGCCAGCCCAGGGGGCCACCACGGGGGAGCCCGCTGCCAGAGCAGGCTGTCCGATCAGGGCGGTGCACCTACATGCTCACGGGCCGCAGGTGGCAGAGGAGCACTTTACCCGCCCGGAGGCCCTCCCCACTGCCTCGCTCTGCCCTGGGCCAGTCGCAGGTCACTGCCAAGGGCAAGTCTCCTCTCTTGCCAGCATTAGTCAGAGGTCATCCTGCAAACCTTCAGGAGGGGGTGGGGCAGGGAGTGACTGGTGGCACTCTGCCATGCTCTATCTGTCCTAAATGTGATGAACAGGACCCAGAGGAGGCAGGCGAGTCTGCCACCCGGAAGCCTCAGCGGTTTACCTTGCCTCTCAAGCTTCCCTGGGCCCAGCAGCCAACCCCCAGGAAGACAGACAGGACGGACACACCCCACGTGGCCATAAAGCGGGGCCCGGCCTGGGGAGCAGGAGGCAGAGGGGCAGAGAGGGCAAGTGTGAGCCTGCGCCCAGCCTGGGATGAGGGAGCCTTTAGGGGTTTGAACAAATGGAGACAAAATGTCTGGAAGGCCTCCAGGGCAAAGACTGGAGCAGGGGTCTCTGTCTGAGCTGCCTGCCGCCACCTTCCCAGCCACTCCAAGGAGAGGGATCACAAGGAGGTCTCCCTGCGGCCTCAGTTATACGCACGCACCACGGACACAACACAACAACGTTTATTTTGTCCCAAGAGAAACTACTCTTCCTGCTCCACTTGCCCTCCTGCAGGACCAGAGAAAAGGGGCCTTGGAGCCCCGAGCATCAATGTGCAACATGAAGGGGCTTAACCCAGCGGGAAGCAAGACCTGCCGCAGCCTCACTCATCCTGGGTGGGAACTGAGTCCCCTACAGAATGCTGGGAGAGCGTGGAACTGCAAGCAGCGTGAGGGAACGGAAGCGGAAGGGAGGGAGCCGAAGTACCGAGGGAGGCCGGGCTCTCGGGGAGCAGCCAGCCACGGGCGGGGAGCAGGGGCCCTCACTCCTCCTTCTTGTCCGTGGGGCCATCTACCTCCGCCTGCAAAGGGGACAGAAATTGCAAAGCAGTGGGTTGGCAGGCACGCTCCTCCCCTTCGCCTTCCAGCCCCTCCACCCCAGAGGTCCGGTGGGGTGCCCCTTTCCCCAGATGCCAGGCGGTCAGATGAGCAAGGGACCCCCCCATCAGCAGCACCTCACAGTCTGCCAGGATGGGAGTGGCCCCACTCCACGAGGGCTGTAACCCTAACTCCAGCCAGGCAGGGGCGTGGGGTGAGGGGCCGAGGGGAGACAAGCCTCTGCTGTCGCTCTTTTCTCAGAGCCCCAAGCCCGCAGCACCACCTTCTCCTGGGCCTCACTCACACCCACCCTCGTGCCCACGGCTGCCTCTGAACTTGAGTCCCTTCCAAGTCCCAGTTCAGGCTCTTCCCAACTCTGCACACCTTCCACAGGTCCTGCCAGTGAGCCCGCCCTGCACTGAAGCTGTTGGCCCCCCTTTGGGGTCTGGGCCCTCCTTCTCCACCTTCCACGGTGCCCAAACTCAGGCCGCCAAGCACTAAATCAAACCATCAGAATTTAGGGGTGTTTACCTAGCCCTCATGCCCAATTTCCAGGCCACCTGAGCTTCCAGACGCAGGTAGTCTGGGGACTCAGACCGGGCCTGCGGGCGGAGGTGGTGGCAATGACTCGGACCTACTGGGTGGGAGCTGGCTGTGATGTCCCCAGCTCTCGGCCTCACATCACCCCGCAGCCCCTACGGAGGGAAGGTCCGCAGCTAGCAGTGGAATTTCCCCTGCACGTCTCTGGCCGGTACTTGATGGGGCCCTTCAGTAAACCCGGACCAGAGTCAGGGGCCCCACACCATGGACCAGGGGTACTCCAGGGAAGGAGCTCTTCTCAAGGGCACTGATGCTGGGCACGAGGCTGGGCAGGCCCACAGTGCAGAGGGCTGACCCGACTGCCAAGGCGACCTTAGTAAGTGGCTGCCATCTGCCAGGCCACACACCCCTCCTGCTCCAGAACGGGTTCCGGCTGTTGGGCCCACGCTGGCCCCAGACTCAGCGGCAACAAAGGAAAAAAGGGGGACTGGGAGAGAAAGGAGCCAGCTTGCTGCCGAGGCCTCTCGAAGGGGACACGTTGGCCCTGAGGCTAAGCGAGTGGGAGGCCTGCTCTGCGCCTGCGCAGGGTGGGGGGGCTCAGTTCCAACAGAGCAAGCTGAGCATGCTGACCTGCAACTTCGCGTGCTCCTCCAACAGGCGGTCGTACTCCTTGGTCAGGCCCTCAGACTGCTTCCACATGGCCAGAGCCTCATTTTCAGCTTTCTCCAGTTCTGGGGATGATGCATGTGGTGAAGGAAGGAAAATTAAAAGATGAGGATTAGGGAGAAAAACGCCATTTGCTGTAGACAGCAGATGCAGCTGCCCCAAATCTGTCCCCAGTGAGGGTGTCTGGGAGACCACTCCTCTCAAGAAAGCTCCTCTGCCAGCTGCCTCGAAAGCCTCCAAAAGTGGGGAAGGGCTGGCCAACAAAGCTGGGACAAGTAGGAGAAAACCAAGGATCGCCCCCCAACCCCTTTAATGGAGGGACCCTGCATGGCTCTCAGCAGGGGTGACCGCAGGGAGGCTGACAGCATGGGACAAACATTTTGAAAAGGTTGGGGGTGAGAGCAGGAGGCAGGGAGCAGAACCCCTGCCTCAAAGCTGAGAATGAGAGGTGTGTCGAGAGAGGCCTTCAGGAAGGGAGCAGATAGGAACATCTCAAGCAGCTCTGATGCAGCCTTTCCTTCCCCACCCACCAGGCCCCTGGTGACAAGGCACACAGCGCCACTCCCCACGCCTGGCGCTGGATGAGATGCTCTGGAGTTAGCCCATGGGCCTCTGGGGTTCCTGGGCCCTCCTTGGTGGGACCCTGAGTGCACTGCTAAACCACTAAGCCCCATCAGCTGGGGCCGAGCCCGGCTGTGTTTGGGCTGGACGAGCAGGGAGCATTTTGTTTGTTTTCACGCAGCTCCTGAGCCTGCGTGTGAGTTTGTTATTAATACTTTGGCAAGAGAGGTGTGGCAGCCACCGGCAGAGGCTCCCGAGTTCTGGGGGCCGCGGGCAACCCGACGACAGTGCTCACTTTGCTTGTTAACAGCCAGCTCATCCTTCAGCCTCTGCAGATCAGCCTTCAGGCTCCTGTTCTCTTCCTCCACCTTCACTTCAGCGTCCCTGCCATCCAACTTGACTCCACCGGCAGCTTCCTAGGAACAGTGCCAAGGTCCTGGGTTACTCAGGAGGGAGGAGGGAGGAGGGAGGGAGGGAAGGAGTCCAGCTCCGTCCTCCCCACTGAGCTGTGATTCCTCAAGCTGCCCTGGGCACTTGCCCCTTCGGAAATGTCAGCACAGAACTGGGCCACTGCTTGTTCCCAGCCACCAGGCAAAGCCCGGGCCAGCAGGGCCACCTGCTACAGCTCCCAGGCCACACGCCCTGCCTGCCCTGGCCCCCAGCCCTACCTCCTTTCTCGGCAGCTCCTCCAAGTTGACCAGTCCATCCAACGACTCCATTTGCTGCCATCTGGGGATTGCTGCCAGTGACCCCCAACTGACCAATGCCATCGCTTCCTCTCCCCAAGCTCCACAGCTCACTCCACCCGAGAAGCCCCCAACTCACCCCTGCCCATCCAACTCTAGCCTGCCTATGAATCCAAGTCCATCCGTCTCCTTCCCAGCTTGGCTCACACCTCACCTCCTCTGACAAGCCTTCTAGGACTGCCCCACCTCGTCCCCAGATGACAGCAATCCTCAGGGGACCAAGATTGGTCCTATCCTAACTTGTGTTCTTCTGTGCTAACTTGCCCAATGTTCACAGCACACGGCTCAGATCCTTTGGGAGTCAGTTTATCAGGGAAGAGTCTGGCCTGGATGCACAGCGGGTAGAGGCAAGAGAGCAGCAAGGGCGCCCCCCTTCCCATTGCGTCCCCCAGACCTCTGCAGTACCCACCCCCTTCGTCCCTCCACCCAACTCCTCCGCTTTTCAGACAACAGCAGTGTCGCACGTTTCCCAGCCTGATAGGCTAACGGCAGCTGCTGTGGCCAATAAAGACTGTCACGTGGTGGGGGGGGTCGGGAAGGCTGAACTCACCTTCTTTAGCTGGTCATTCTCTTCCATGTACTTCTTGGCCGCTTCACTAGCGCTCTCTGCCTGCTTTTTAAAGGCTTCATTGGAGGCCAGCAGCGTGGCCTGCTGGGAGATAAGAGTCACCAGGCGTCTAAGCAGGCTGTAATTGTTTACAAAAAGAAGGGAGAAGTGAGCAAAAGAAAGAGGGAAAGATGGCTAGCATGAACTTCTTTTGTTTGCTCCCACCCCACACCTGCCTGCAGCCTAGACCTGTCCTTCTGGATTGCCAGGGAGGCAAAGCAAAACACACCGGCAACGTGAGGGGAAAGATGGAGCCAGGAGCTGTCCTCTGCCACCAGGATTACTAGTGCCCCCAAAAGGCCGCTCACAGCCCTGGGGCTCTCCTCCAGCCCAGAGGGCACAGGAAGCAGGAGCCTGTTAGGACACAAGGGGCCACGCCTAGATACAGCCTAAAGGCCTAGAACCCGGCACTTTACAGGGCAGGGCCTTGACGTGCCAAAGCAGCCATGCTGCCACTTTCCTCGCTGCAAGGCTGGGCTCACCTTGATAAACAAGAGCAGCCCAGGACTTCCCTGGGGGTCCAGTGGTTAAGACTCCGTGCTTCCAATGCAGGGGGCGTGGATTTGATCCCTGGTTGGGGAACTAAGATCCCACATGCCATGCAGCAAAACAAACACACACACCACACAAGAGCAGCCAGTGCTGCAGGGGCTTCCAAAGGGCCGGCCGAATCCTCCAGCCCACCTTGTGAGACAGTTGCTACTACTGCCCCCGTTTCACAGAGGGGATGTGGAGGCTCAGCATGCTGAAGCAATTGGTCAAGAGCCAGAAACGAATGTGGCTAGAGTCCGCACTCCTGCCTGTCTGACCCCGAGGCCTGAGCTGCCAACCACTACACGTTCTCGGTTTCCAGGGAACTACTAGCTGGGCCAGATGAGAGAGATGGAAACAATTCTTCTCTCCTCACCCACTGCCCAAATGCAGTCTACAGGCAGCTGCCAGACCACACCTGTTAGAAAACATCACCACCTTGAGGTTTCCCCAGGCAAGGGGGACAGAAAATGAAAAACCAGGGCCCAGGCACACACCTCAGGTTCAGACCAGCCATGAGAGGCAAGCACGTGGCAGCTGAGCACACGCTGCTCCGTTTCCCGACAGCCACCCTGCCCTCAGATGTTAGCTGGCAGGAGAGAGGACGGGAGGACTCAGAGTGGGGGGCGGCGGGGGCACTTCCGCACATGCCTGGGACAGGCCTGGCCAGCCACTGCCCCAAGAAGGGTGCAAAATAGGCAGGCCCCGGGCACGAGGGGAGGACTCAGCATGTCCAGGGTGCTTCCACAACAAAGTGCTCGCTCGGAGGAGACAAAGAAGCCGAAGCTCCGAGCCGTCTTCTCCGGCCTTTGCAGGGCTCTTGTGGACACCTGCTGCTCATCAGGCCCAAGGGGACGAGGGGACTAGGGAGGAATGGGAGAGCAAACAAGGCGCCCAGCTCTCCCTGGCCAGGCCCTGGCAGAGCCCCTGCTGGGAATGAGCCCTGAGGGGGAGCGGCTCGCAGGGGCTGTGAGGCACCCATCACGCTTCCTGGTTTAGGGAGTGGCTCCAGGGGCCCCTGTCAGGACCGGGAGAGCCAGGCTACTGGTTCCTGGCAGGAAGGGAGAGTTTCCAGTGACATGTGCTCTCTAAAATTAGCGACCAAGACCTCGTGGCCCAGGGCTCAGGTTTCCCTGTCTCAGCCGCAACTGCCCACCAGCCTGCCCCCCACCAGGCTGAAGCCCTGGAGGTGGAGGGGGCTCCCGAGTGCCCCAGGAGCCAGAGAGAAGCAACGTGCCTGAGTCACACAGGCAGAGTGGCAGTCACTGGGGGAGCCCAGAAAGAAAGGCAAGTCTGACTAAGCCCCAAGCTCGCAAGCACAGGGCGCTCAGGCAGCTCTGAGCAGATCCTGGCGATGTGGAGGAGGCTGCTCCTCCCAGCCGGAGACTGGGTTGGCGGGGGAGGGCACATGTGCCACCTGGCAGACCCAGCCAGCAAAGATGGAGCAGGCAAGCCCAAAGGTGACGCTCCCCCTTCGCCTGCCCCCCTGACAAGGCTGGGCAGGCGGCTGACATGGGGCGGGACTCCAGCAGCACTGTGAGCCACCACAGCTGTCACCCCAGTTACCCAGGGAGGCCAGGCCCAGGATGGTGGTGGCAGTGAGGACCACAGCAGTACAGCAGGGGCCGAGCTCTCCTCGGTGCCGTCCCAGCCCATCCCCACTTATGGAGAACCAGGGTTGCCAACAAGAGCCCAGGCAAACACGCGGTACCCAGCGCAAGAGCTGTCCAGGTAGCCTTCCGCCACCTCAACCTGCTCAGCCCCCTGCCCGCCCTCAGGGTCTCCCCCTCAGTGCAGGGCAAGAGCCTCCAGGGTAGATGCCCCTCCCCGACCACGTGTCTTTCACACAATCCATCCACGCCATCCATCCCCATCCTCTCCCTTCCTGTTAGACCTGTTCCTCCAACCCAGCCCCAGACAATTCTGGGTAATTCCTCCCTCCAGGAACCTCGCCCCTCAAGGCTCTGCCTCCCACCAGCCCAAGCCCCTCCTCTCTTCCTCCATTCCTCAACCAACACCAACCTATATCCTGCCCTGGCCACGCCACCAGCATGATCACCAGTGCCCTAACCACCCAATCCAAGGAGCAACCTGGAGTCCTTGGGGCACTCGCTCTGTAGCACCTGGCACAGCTGACGGGTCACCCCCTTGGAACTCTCCCCTACCCTTGCCTCAAGCAACCCTCACCGCCCACCAATCCCACCCCCAACAGGGGTTTATCTCAGCCAGATCCTGACACCCAGCTACCTACTCACCGGTGGCTCCTGCGTGTCCCTGAGACACGCCTGACTCAGCCCATCCATGACAGGCCAACTGCTCCTGCACCGCGCTATGGTGGACGCCGTCACTGAGCTACCCAAGCTCTTGGGCCTGCACGCCACCTTGGGCCCCAGTCATCCCTGTGGCCTCACTGCTTCTTTCCTGGGTGACTTTAGTAGCTCCTAAGCGGCCTCCTCCCTACCCTCCACCATATACAGCTTTGCAATCCATGCCCCCAAGGAAAGCCAGTGATCTTTCTCCAAGACAATCTGATCATGTCACTCCTCTGCTTCCATCCCTCTGACGCACGCCCACTGTTCTGGCTGGCACACAGCCCTCTCTGCGAGCTGGCTCTTGTCCCCTCACCACCCGCATGGCCCTCTGCTCGACTAACACCAAACCACTGGCTGCTCTTGAACACGCCAGTCCTCACTTGCCTCATCTCCTGTCACTGCACGTCAGCCCACCAGTCTGCAGGGGTGTCTCCCCTTCTCTTTGAGAACTCTCGCTGATGACTCAAGATCCAGCTCCAGGGGACTTCCCTGGTGGCGCGGTGGTTAAGAATCCACTTGCCAATGCAGGGGACACGGGTTCGAGCCCTGGTCCGGGAAGATCCCACATGCCGTGGAGCAACTGAGCCCGTGCGCCACAACTACTGAGCCTGTGCTCTAGAGCCCACGAGCCACAACTACTGAGCCCACATGCTACAGCTACTGAAGCCCACGAGCCTAGAGCCTGTGCTCCACAACAAGAGAAGCCACCTCAATGAGAAGCCTGCGCACCATGACAAAGAGGAGTGCCCGCTCACCGCAGCTAGAAAAAGCCCGCCTTCAACAACGAAGACCCAACGCACCCAAAAATAAATTAAAAATAAATAAAATTTAAAAATAAAAAAGGGGACATTTAAAAAAATCCTCCTGCCAGTGCAGGGGACGTGGGTTCAATCCCTGGTGTGGGAAGATCCCACGGGCCGTGGAGTAACTAAGCCTGTGCGCCACAACTACTGAAGCCCGCAAGCCACAACTACTGAAGACCACGAGCCACAACTACTAAAGCCCACAAGACACAACTACTGAAGCCTGCGAGCCACAACTACTGAAGCCCGCGAGCCACAACTACTGAAGCCCGCAAGCCACAACTACTGAAGCCCGCGCGCCTAGGGCCCGTGCTCCGCAACAAGAGAAGCCACCGCTATGAGAAGCCCGTGCACCACAACGAAGAGTAGCCCCCCGCTCACCACAACTAGAGAAAAGCCCACATGCAGCAACGATAGACCCAATGCAGCCTAAATAAATAATAAATAAATAAAGACCTAGCTCCATTACCACTCTCCCCTCAAAGCCTCTCCTGAACCTCCCAGGTCTCCCTTCCACATGTTCCCGCACCAGCCCCTGTGCCCCCTCATCTCGTTGCACGGTTCTTCCTCTCTTCTCCTCCCAATCATCTCCCCGCATCACACTGTCACTTGCTCCTCAACTGGCTGCCCAGCCACAAATGCCTTCAGACCAGGGAATGCACCTTCAACCTCTACACGCCCCCCACCTGGTCCACTGGGAAGGGACCCTGCAGATGACTCCCCCCGTCCCCTATGTGTGTGATGCCACACCTCAGGCCAGGACAGAATGTGAGCCTGGGGCCCTGGCTCTCCCCGAACTCAGCCTTCCGTCGGCCCAGCCACACAGAAGGGGACACAGGCAGACACGGGTGGGGCTTGCCAGTCAGTTGAGCAACAGGGTGACGAGAAACAGCAGCAGGAAGGCGCCATGTCAGACCCGTGTTGATGAGCCAGCCAGGCTTGTGACTGCAGCGGTAGCTGAATAGGCACTTAGGAAAACACTCATCACCAAAGCTGGGGGCAAAGCCCAGTGCCCCGGCCCAAGTCCAAAGGGTGCCCCTGCAGGGCCCCCGGCTAAGCCAAGAGCAGCATTCCCTAGCACGGCCGACCAGGCCTGCCCAGGAGCTGGCCTTCTAGAACTTCTTAGTGTCCCTCACACATTAGGCCCCATGCTCTTGTGCCTGTCCCCAATTCACCCAAGATCCAGCTCCAACACTCCCCGAGAGCCTCTACCCTCTCCCAGGCACATCAATGTGCCCTTTTGTGTCTGTCCCCTCAGTGTTCTGAGTCTCCACAGAGACCCAGGACAGAGCAGGGCATACGGTGGAAGGTGCTGAGCTTCAGAATCTTCAAATCTCAACAGCCCAGAGATGTCAGCCTAGAGAGAAGGCTGACGGACTGCTGTCCCCACTCCTGCTGGCCATCCTCCACCGTGCTCAGCTTGACTGCCCAAG